CGTTCAACGGGAACATAATATTTCTTCACCCTTCTGCTCTCTGCTTCAAGATATGTTTTCTCTCCCAGTTTCTGACGTCTTCTCTCACGATAAGCAGCTTGTATTTCGGCGCGTGTCTTGGCCATCTTAAAAATGCAGATGTATGTCGCACTGTCGTAGAAACTGAAAAGTAATAACAAATAAAATCAGATCTAATTAAATAGAGTTACAAGGAAGAACATTTGGTGGTTTAGACATGCAGCAACAATAACGGCACAATATTGATGCTGTCCAGAATATTCTGTTTTTAACATATACCATTACTGAAAAGTGAAAAACTCCTAGGTTGGACCCCCGTTTTCCGAGTATTTCATGTTTTTGAGTTACATATGGTTAATCAAAGTTATTGTATAAAGAAAGACATAACACCAGCCATCCACATTTCCGTAACATACGTTACCGTTTGCGTAACATACGTTACCATTATTTTCAGGGTATTAATGTAATCAAAAGCAGTACCTGAAAAACCTGCTTGATATAATCTTGTATTTTAATTACCCAGGTAAACTCCAGTGACATTTTTTTCAGTATTAGAAAAAAGTTTAGAATGTATCCTTCAGAAAGATATTTTGCTGTCAATTAAATGAAACTTACGTTACCATAAATAAAAGGATCCCATAAACAATTACAGTCACTGTGTAATACGTAATAATGTAAAAGCTTTAAGACGTGTTGCTCTCATTACCGATAATCCATTAGTTCGGCTCGACCAAAACTGCAGATAAGCCGTCCACGTGGCAATCAGATTGAGATACACACCTCCATAACGATTAAATAACATGAAACTTACGTTACTCAAAGATTTGATCTAAAAATGCCGTTATTCATGTAAAACCCTTGATAAATGTTACATATGTTGATGGTATTGCATTGATGAAAACCCAAAGCATTCTACACAAAGTTTTTACTTGGTTTTATAATCCCAGTTTAGTCATGTACCAGAACTTACCAAAAAATCTGGTCCTTTATGCCTTGGGACTCCACGCAGCATGGTCAAGCCGCCATTTTTATCAGTGCAAAAGGTTGCTATGTAGCCGGTTGTGCATGGGGGCGCTGTTGAGATACTCATTTTCAAACGTGCAATCATCATATGAGAAAAAATGAAACACATACTAAACGATTGTAACGTATGTTTCATAACGTAGGTTTCAAAGGATTCGTTTGAAAGTTCTTGTGCCAACTTGTAAATGCATGTTCGAGGCATCCGGTTGATATTAAGAAGAGCGGACACCGATCCTAAAATTGCACATGACATTAAGCTTCTCAAATGCAGAAATATTGACAAAATGCGGTAACGTATGTTTCATACAATAAAACCACTTTTTGACTGTTCAGCAGGGAAATCGCCACATCTCCAAAAATGTTTTCTACATGGAATCTACAAGTTATGGGCATAAACACCAGACCACGTAATTCATTGAACAATCAAAAGTAAGCTCAATTTTTTATATTTATAAATATTTGGGTTGAGTGTCTTCCGAGGTAACGTAAGTTACACTCAATTTTGCGACACATTTTTACCTGCCAAAAGTTCTTTCGCAAAGATGTCAACAAACAAATTTAACACCAAATCATTTCGCCAAAATCATTATCATCTATATTACGTTTATATTTGCTATGAATTAGTCCACGTTTTTAAACAATATCTTCTCATTCTTGACATTTTGTTTTTGCGACATGGGAAATAGGTATCCTCGCTTGTATTCAAAACAATATGAACAAAAGAACTAGTGTCACCTCAGTCTCAATTTGGGATATTTATTGTTTTAAGAAACCGAATTATTAAAAAACGCTATTTCCTTTGCCTGGTATTGGTCATATATTTTTGTAGGCACCCTTCAATCCATGCGACAAGGATATCACATATTTGCGCCGATATACTGGGATTGAGCTAGGAGGCTAATACAATTTTCAAATAAATTTTCTACAATTTTTTTTTTATGTAGGACCTAGTTTTGTAGAGACAATTTTAGGGAATGTTTTAGTTCAAGTTTTGATTCCAATTGCTATGATCGGAGATCGTCATTGGAGTGCATGGCCGTAGCGGTTTTTACTAATTTTGGTCTCTGAGCGTGACTATGTAGAAACTTGAAGTCCGTTAGTAAAGTGACACGTTAAAACCGAAATGATTTATGTATTGATGTAGGCAACAAGATAGTGCTTGCTGGAAAACGCAACACGTACATCAAAACGGGCACACTCCAAACTGAGTCAACTCCCCTCTGAAAAAGCAGCCGAACAAAGACTCCTAACAGAAGATACGTTTCGGAGACGGATTCTGAAGACACTGAGGTAGGCCTGCTCTGTATTTGTTCAGCTTCGTAATCGTGATTGCATATCTGCAGCCGATTTCACGAAGCTTAACGCAATAGACCGCTTGCAGACGCGTTCGATAATCGACGCGCGAAGGCGCGCGACGCCATGTTGTGGGACAGGCGTATATCTATCCACGCACATTTTGTCCCATAACATGGCGTCGCTCACCTTAGCGCGTCAATTGTCGAACGCGTCTGCAAGCGGTCTATTGCGTAAGTCCACTTCCGCCACAATTTATTGCGTAAGTTGCACAACATTTCACGCTGAGCAACATTTCACGAAACTTTCATAGTGCGTAAAAACGCGACTTGCGCAACGAATTTTAGGTGGCGTAACTTGTGGCATAGCGACAAGAAACGACCTATTTTATCAGCAATCGTGATCGTCGTGGAGCCGGTTATTGAGCAACTTCTCAAGGTTGACACAAGACACCCACAGCTTTGTGTTTGAAGTAAATAAATCGCTATATAGTTTACAGACTTTTTAGAGCTGCCGCGCAAATCCGAAGAATGTCGGACAAAACTTGTTAAAAATGGCTGGCGGCGGTGAATCAACGTCTGTTTTATGAATTAACGAAACAAACAGCCGTCGTAATTGCTGTTATTATCCTCGATTGTTTAAAACGTTGCGCAGCTACGCCAAGTTTCGTGAAATCGATCGTAAGTTTATTGCGTAGCTGCGCAATAAATTTGTTGCGCAAGTCCTACGCATGGCGTAAGTTACGCACTGTTTTGTGAAATCGGAAGCATAAACTAAAAGTGTATACGACAAAACATTATGAGGCCTTGAAACAAATTATTAAAAAGTTATACATTTTTAAGAAAGCAGACTTTGTATACACCTTTGATTTAAAGAGGACATAAATATATACATAGTTCACTCCATGAAGTTCGGGCACAAAGTGTGACATCAAGGTCAAATTTTCAAAAGTGTTTTTTTCCGTCTCTTTTTACAATTTTATATATTGCAAGTGTTCTAGTTTTAGAAATAAAAAAAGATAAATCTCTAAGATTGAAATCAAAATGCCTATAGTTGTTCAAAGTTTGCAATGTATTTCCAGAAATGCTGATGCTACATGGACACCATTTCACATTTCCTTATTTATTTGCTTGTAAAAAAGGCCATTATTTTTGTAATGTGTCTGTTGGTTAATGGACTATCTGGGACCATAAATACATGAAAGTAAACAATTGTGACATGGGTTAACATCAATTACAATAATGAGACATCATTTATTGGTCAATTGATGATCCGGCTCATCAGAGAGTGACAATGTATTTTAAAGTTTTAATTAAAAAGTTAATATGAACAGGCATCAACTATTTAATGTTGCACAGTATTGAAAGAACTCTAGACACAACATCGTTTAACAATTAAATATGTATGCAGAACATGTTTATAGCTTCCTTGTACAAAACATTTGTTTTACTAATGCAACATGGACACCGTGTCCTGTAACATCAGGACTATAAGGCCTATCTATCCACCCAGGTAAGTATAAAATGATGTCCAGTTGATCAATGTTACTAAAAGTACAGAGAGTGAAATGATTTACTTTTTAGGGAATATACATCTTTTGTTTTTGCTGTACTTTTCAGAAATGGATGGAATTGGGGGGTTGTAGATATAAAGCAAATATAGTTACACTGACTTTTTTGAGGTTTTAGGTTCGAAAATGCTATAAAAACCAAGAAAAACAATCATTTTCCTGTAGTCTGGTTCCCTGACTCCATTTAAGAAGAAACAGAGCAGTTTACATATATTGGGGAATTGTAAGGTCAGGGAACTAGTCTAGCTGGCTTGTACCCGTTCATAGGTGTGTAATCGATTGCAAACAAGTGCGATGGTCAACTGGGGCCAGTATTTGAAAAAAAAAGCCAGTTTTTTCCAAAGCTGATCGGCCGATCAGCGTTGGAAATTGATACAAAAATACCGCTTTTCTTGAAAATGCCAGTTTACCAGGTGATATGGTTTTACAGGATGCTTTACACTGTCATTCACTAACAGTCCAGCAAGGTATTTCAAAATGATTTGGTAGTTTCATTTTTTGATGTTTGCAAATGTTGTATTTTCCCTTCAATAGCATTTACCCCAAATGTGCTGCAGATGCTACATCCTGTAACATGTGGCGCTCTCAGATTTGTTATTGTTTAAAATGTCAAATGCACTGTCCTGTTGTCAATGTCAAAAATAAGGAATAAAAACCAGTGAGATTCTTTTCTTGCTTTTTACCAATTTTGGGGTGATCATTTTATCCATCATCTAGTTTGTAATTTGTACAATAAAAGTAATTACTGATGCTACATCATGACACCATGTCCTGTAAAATCAGCGACTAACTTTGATGCAGATGCTATTTGGACACATTATCCTGTAACATGTTGTGCTCTCAGATTTGTCCATGTCTAAAATGTGAAATACACTGTCCCGTTATCAATATTGTTAAAAGTTAACATGTGTTTCAAAAAGCAGGTTAATTTAAATTCCAAATTCAAACTTTATAAAATTGAAAGAAGCAATGGATGAAAAATTTACAACAAATTTGATTTAAAATCCTGTTTGTGCTGTTAATGTTTTCCAACACACAAATTGCACTGTAGAACTAAGGTAAGATAAATTCATATGTTCACAGGAAGATGAATGTGCTCTGTTATCACTGAAATAGAATTTGAACTACATTTTCATGTATTAAAAATTCAACATCGAAACTGGATATGAGGTTCTCTTATTTTAGTATTATTTTGCAGTGTGCAGCTGATACAACTTTCTGAATATCCTCGGGGGAGAAAACAAACTGGTTTCCGCCACGGTGGTTTAGGAGTGCTGGTGGATTTACTGAACACAGGATGTCACAAGTGGGATGAGTGAACAGCGTCTCTTCGAATTTGTAGTATCCACCGACCTTGCACATGAACCTCAACACAACCTCGTCATTCTCAGATTTGTTCGTCACCTAAACATTAATTTGAATACAATTTAGTTTCAAGTTAATAAAGAATCGAAGTACACACAAATCATACTGTGAATAGAACTGTGGATTGTGGTAGCTTGTTTAAAACTACATGGTTAACTGTAACTTACCATAGCCATGTCACCGATATCAGCATCTGCACCCTTTCGCTGAGCCTGATTGTTAAATTTTACCGAAACATATCCGCCAACAACAAAATCTCTGGAATGCAAAAAACAGACAACATGAATAAGTATACAATTTGTAGTACCAAAGTTTGAGGGCATACAACAGGTAATCATAATTGTCTAAAGATTCAGCACATGTTCTCACCGTTCTGTTGCTGATGAAGCGGTGCCATGTCCAGTAGATGCCGTCAGAGCGAATGACTGGCCTCACTCTCCATTTCCTTGACCAGGGTTGTGATGGAAGCTTGTTTCGTTTTCAGAATCATCTTTTATAGCAGACTTTCTTTTTGCGATTTCGGTCTCTCTCTCCTTTTTTTGCCATGTTACAGGACTTTCTTCGAGTGCCACGGTTTACACATGTTGTGAGATTTTTTTCACTCCACATTTAGTACACTTTCTCAGGATACACTGAAGCTGGTTGTATGTGCTGTCCCCTTTGTTAAACAATGTGATTTCATTCAGCTTGTGGGTACTGGAGAATAGCGTCGACTGGTGATGGCTATGTGCGTACTTGTTGATGGCATCCACTTTCAACTGGAGGTTGGCACAATATTCACAAAGGCATCCTCGATATCTGATGGCACTCCTCATTTTGATATGAGGCGGTCGCATTGATGTGAACTTTTATAGTTCAAGTTAGATGTTCGGGTTCTCTTTCCGGAAATTGTAATAGAGTGTATGAACTGGTAGGCTGAGGAAACCAGCTGCCTTGTGTGTTTTCTTACTCACGAACTTTTTGACGGGGAGCACTACATTATTATTTTCGTTGAAGTCCTGAACAGCCTTCTCGGTTCTTGGTGAGACTTTTCTCTTGTGTGCTTGTTTGCTTTACCCATGAAGAAGCTTTGGTGTCACCCTGAATGCTTTACAAACTTGACTTTGAAGCCTGTACTTCCTGGTTATTCTCAGCTGGCTCGCGTACGAGCTGGCTCGCGTACGAGCTGGCTCGCGTACGAGCTGGCTCGCGTACGAGCTGGCTCGCGTACGAGCTGGCTCGCGTACGAGCTGGCTCGCGTACGAGCTGGCTCGCGTACGAGCTGGCTCGCGTACGAGCTGGCTCGCGTACGAGCTGGCTCGCGTACGAGCTGGCTCGCGTACGAGCTGGCTCGCCAGGTACGTCAGGTTTGTGGCCAAGTAGGCTTGTACGTCAGGTCTGTGGCCAAATAGGCTACGATGACAGTTCTTACACTTGAATTTACAACAAATTTCGGTAAACGAGGCACACAAAATGGAATAATTTGCCCGCTGATAACGTAAGTTCAACTGTCAATGCGGAGGCACATTATGCATGACGGTAACGTACGTTAAATCAATGACGAGCTAGGCCTATGTCATGTAGGCCTATGTCATGTATGTTAAATCGCTGTTGACATGGTTGACCATCATGAACATAGGCCTAGCCTACCCGCAGCAGCACAGAAGCGGAACTTTGAACGAATATATTTCCCTTTTTTTCGGCGTTACATTAAAGACCTTAACGGCTCAGGCGTTTTTACTCAATGAAAAGTATTGTATTACTTCGAAATAAATATAAAAACTGACTTACATTGTTTGAAAAAGCTGATTTTGATCCACGAAACATCGGCACATCGAGCAACAAAGATGGCGGACAATGAAGTGGAAATTTCCGCGCCGCGCGCGCGCACGGTGCGCATGCGTGAGTGTATGCCTTTTTGACCACGGTTATTCGGGGTTACTACATTGACCAAGTGGATGTCAATTTTTTTTGCAAATCAACCACGGAAGTGGTCAAATAAATTTGACCACGGAAAAAATAACCACGTATTTTTAAGAGTGTAGCAAACCCTTTAGCATCTACACGCCCATTTTGTTTTAACGTTAACGGACTAGGGCCTAGTTAATGGACGGATCGTCCCAGTCAAGGCCTAGCCTAAGTTAGTGCTGAGCCTAGGCCAAACGAAATGTTGGCCTCGGGTAGTTGTGGGCTCACTATCCTTCTCTTTTCGCTGCGTTCCTAGCTGTGGATTTAGCTGACTTTAACTACGATAGTCCAGCAATGACATTTCTTAATGTAGGTCAATATGTCAAATAACAAGAATACTCACTTTTCCTCAAACTTTCAGTCGTTGACATGGACATGGTGGAGGGAACAGCTCCGCTGCTGGCCGCCATTTTGGAATGACTCAGTGTCAACAATGAGGGCGGGCTATTATTAAATACATTGACATCGTTTCTTCGAGGCTTCGCCTCTTGTATTTTAAAAACCATCAATATAATCATTTTTAACAGATAAAAGTAAAAAACGCAAATAATTGTGGAGTAATTTAGGAAATTAATACATTATCTACGCCAACAGCAGTCACGTGACTTAGTGTATTCGTAGAACTGATCAGATCCGTCAATTCGTGAATCGTGAAACAATTACGCACCGACAAAACTTTTTCACGAAGTGACGAATAGATATCCGTCACTTCGTGATACATGGATTTCGATTTTTTAGCAATTTTATCAAAGTATCAATTCTGTAATTTTCTTTCAAGATACCTTTTCAACTTAAAACTTGATGAAAATGGTAGATTTTACCTTAATTGATTTAAATATATAAAAATCTCATTTTCGCCAAAACACGAGATACGCCACTTCGTGGTGCGACCGACGATTTAATACAAAAAACTTAATTAGAATACAATAATCAGTACAACTGTACATTTGCCCGAATTTCATGGAGTGACCCACATGTACATGCAGGACAGCTACAGGCCGGTACAAAAAAGGATGCGCCACTCGAAGGAAAAAGAACAAAGTCCCTTCATTATTCATCGTGCAAAGTCATAAGTTCATTCGAGCTTTACAAGTCAGATAATTGTAAATGACAACCACACATCGCTAGATATATACGATTCTCGTTTCATTTCCAGCTTCAAGAATTGGAAAAAGAGGTCCATGCGTTGAGAGCCAAGAATATGACATTGGAGAGAAAGGTGGAAAGGCTCACAGATACTTTGTCCTGTTTGGAAAGTAAGTTATTTAATATTTGTAGTATGGTGTGCTCGTAACTAACTTCCCCTCTCATTCTACCCCAATTGGCATGGTGGATATCTTCTGTCATCATTCTGCAGATGATAGTATATTCATGTTATCCCAGCAGGCACCAAACGTCAGACTGACGTTGCTTTAGTGTCGACAATTTAACGTCAGAATTTGACATAACCACAACGTCACAATGTAGTAGGAATTTGGTCACAAATAATACGTAACATAGTTTTAACCATGATATGACGTTGTTTTGTCAACCTCTTTACAACGGCCTGAAAAACAACGTTGTATTATTGTCATTATTATGGTTCCCTTCAAGACGTCACAATTATGTCATGTTTTCAACTAAGATATGACGTTCGCTTTCTAACGTCGTTTCAACAAATCAAAACACGACGTTGAATTGTGGTTGGCCGTTGGCTATAATATCTGACATCGTACTTATGTCATGCTTTCAACCAAAATGCAACGTCCGTTTTTTACGTTTTTTCAACTACTCAATAATTGACGTTGAATTATGGTCGGCTGCTGGTTACAATATTTGAAGTCGTTATGAGGTCATGTTCGCATCGTCGTTTCCACGATTCAAATAACGACGTTGAGTTCTGGTCAGGGGAAGGTTAAAATATTTAACGTCGTTATTATGTCATGGATTTCTCCAAAATATAGCGTCCGTTTTTGACGTTTTTCCAACGACTTCAAAAGCGAGGTTTTATTGTGGTCAGCTGCTGGTTATAATACTTGACGTCATTAATAGGTTATGTTTTCAACCATGATATTACTTCCGTTTTCTAACGTCGATCCACGATTCAAATAACGACGTTGAGTTCTGGTCAGGGGATGGTTAAAATATTTGACGTCGTTATTATGTCATGGTTTTCACCAAAATATAGCGTCCGTTTTTGACGTTTTTCCAACGACTTCAAAAGCGAGGTTTTATTGTGGTCAGCTGCTGGTTATAATATTTGACGACGTTAATAGGATGTGTTTTAACCATGATATTACGTCCATTTTCTAACGTCGTTTCCACGATTCAAATAAATATATATATATATATGGTTAAAATATTTAATGTCGTTATTATGTCATGGTTTTTGACATTTTTTTCCAACTACTTGAATAGTGACGTTGGATTATGGTCGGCTGCTGGTTATAATATTTGAAGTCGTTATTATAGGTCATGTTTTCAACCATAGTTACGTCCATTTTCTAACGTCTTTTCGACGATTCAAATAATGACGTTAAGTTCTGGTCGATGGATGGCTAAAATATTTAACGACGGTCATTATGCCATGGTTTAAAGCTATATAGTCCATCATTTGTAATTTGTGCATTTTGTTCGTTTGAAGCAACAAAAGGGTTTAATTTCTAATTAAGAAAACTGAACAACTAACCTTATGAAGTTTCAGCTAAGCTTCAGCTATACATTCCGAAAAAAAAACAGCATTCTAAGATCTCAATTTCAAATCAAAAGTTGCTAAATCATGTTTTGAATTGTTTTGAATTGCAGCTATACGCAACGTAGCGCACTGATCCGACGAATTACAACAACCGCGCGCGCGTGTGCGTCGTTCCAATACTTGTGCGCGCTGCGCTGAATAACAAAACGAACTACTAATTTAAATTTTTCTATGGTGCTTCTTAAGAATCACCGTTGCAAATGCCTTATTTCGTTGATTACTTCAAAATGAGAGCTTCCCAGAAGGAATAATTTCACAGGGAGTTTAGTTCCCTTACTATCTTTCAACCAAGTTTGTTTTTCAACAATAATTACGCCAGTTACTTTTCAGATGGCTGCAAATGATGGACTATTAGTGGAGCTGCTAAGCGAAAAATCGTGCACAATGTGATAAAAGCATGAAATTTGGTATGTTGGGTCAAAATGGACTAGAAATCATTTAAAGATCGGGACCCATCCTGGATTTTGCCCATTTTTGGGGCGGAGCTTGATTTTTTGGGGGTGCAAACAATAACAACCCATAAAAACTGTATTTAACATCCATTTTTCTAGTTTTTCTATGCTTTGAAAATAAACTTCAACATAAAATAGGACATTCTAGCATTTTAGCGCCTGTTATTTTCCACCCATTTTGTGGGCGTGGCCTAAATGTGTAAAAGAGGCGGTATATATTAGCAGTTGGTTCAAATATGGAATATACCGTTCAGATTGGTGGTAAAATCTTAAAAATTGGCATGTTTAGTCGAAATGGGCTGAAAATCATTTGAAAACGTGGATCCATCCTAGATCTTGCCCATTTTGGGGCGGAGTTTGAGCGGTTAAAAAGGGGAGTGCAAACAA